GACCTTTTGGTCAGCAGCCGTAGCACTTAACCACTACGCCACCAGGATTTCCTCTGGTTATCAAAGGACATGGTAAACATTTTGAAGAAACAAACCCCAAACTCAAAGAAGGCATCTGCAACACACGAACTGACAATTTATAAAAAGAAGAACTGCCAAACTCTTTGCCAAGTAGCTGTTACATTTTACCATCCCACCAGCAATAGATGAGGATTTCAATTTCTCCACATCCTCACCAACACTTCTTATTTTCCATTTTCTAATGATAGCTATCCTAGTCGGGTGAGTAGTCCTTGGGTGACACAAATGGTGAACGTGCTTGGCTGCTAACTGAAAGGTTGGGGGCTCGAGTCCACCCAGCATCACCTCAGAAGAAAGGCTGGGCAATCGACTTCGAAGAATCAGCCATTGAAAACCCTATGGAGCACAGTTCTACTCTGACACACATGGGGTCACCATAAGTTGGGGTCAACCCCATGGCAACTGGTTTGATTTTTGGTTAGTGAGGGTGAAGTAGTACCTCATTGTGGTTTTGAATTTCTGTACAGTTTTTTAAATCTCTTTCATTTTTATATTTTACTCAATAGCAACGATGAAACTCAGCTCACAGGTCGGTTTCTAGGCGGACATACCTCTTTGCAGAAGATGACAAGTTTTGAGGTATAATTTTCTCCCAAGGTAGAGTAAGCAGAGGAGAGGTGAATGTTTTCATGAACTTCTATGGAGTGAGTAGTATAGTGGAATGTCTGTCATCATGTCATGAGCGGCTGCTCCCACCCCCTCCCCCACTAGGAGACCAAAATGGGCCCATCAAGGCATATTTTCCATGAGGCTACGTGGCCTGGAAGCCGAGGTTTCACAGGCTACATCTGCATCAATAGTGCAGTTCTTTATTATCTAAGCTAATACAATGATGGGATGAGAAAGACGTCAGACCTGCTGTAGAACCAAATCCCTTCTCTGAACTCAGCCACCGTTAGATTGACCTCACAATATTATATCCTATTTGGCTTGTAAAGAGAATTAAAAGAAAGTGAGGGGAACTCTACTATGTAATGCTTCCTTGCTTTGTGTGCTAAGCTCTGCAGCCTGGGGAATGGAAGATACTAAGGCTCTGCAGCAAAGCACTCCCAGCTGGGCTTTCCCTGGCCGTGCAAGCATCTCCTCACCTGGCTGAGCCTCAGTTCCCTCCCTGAGCCCTGCAAAAGGAGAAAAAATACCTGCCTCCACGTCTATCTTGTTTGTACAACATCTGTGCCTGCATATAAATCATCCCTAAAAATTATAAATTATTTTAATTACAGTTATGATTTTAAAATTTCCTAATTTACTTCTGTCCTGTGATGTGGAGATCAGCACAAGGTATTGCTCACTAAGAAAACAATTTCCTCAGCCTAGAGCTAGGAATACCTCACGTTTCTTACAATAAATGTCTCCCATTAAAATGCAATTGACCTCTTCAGCAGGGGCCATGATTAAGGGAGATGACAATTATTAGGCAGATTATCAGGTAGAATCCTGTGGAACCATCCCATGAAATACCCAGAGAAGTACATTCAACCTCATTTAGTTTTATGACTTTGAACTGGCCCCTAGAATTTTAATCCTAACTGCCTTTCTAGGAAATTTGCGAGACTGCTAGATGTATCCTTGTAGTGAGGTTTGACAGTTAGCACCGGCCTTAGCACTGGAAAATGATTAGTGCTTAGTCAGAGGAAAATCCATGCTGTGGTATGCCCAAGCTTGGGATTTCAGGCACCTCCCTGGGTAGAGGAAGCCTGTGAACTGAAATGCTGTGAGTTAAGAAGACCTGAGATGGGGGAACGTCGGTAGCTCTTTCAGAGTGGATAGAGGCTCTCCTGGGACCAAAGTGATCGTGACTGTGTGTCCCATCTGCACACTGGAGCAGTCACACTGTGCACTGGGGTCCATGGATACTCAAGGATTAGAGGTCTTATCTCTGTTCTCATCTCCACTCCCCTCATCCCAAACTTGGAAGCTGCTGAAAGGCTTCTCACAAAGTCCTTGTGGAATGCTTTCTGGAGATGGGTCTTGTCTACTATTATGGATAGAATTGTATCCTCTAAAAAAGATATATTGAAGTCCTAACCCCTGGTACCTGTGAATATGACCTTGTTTGGAAATAAGGTCTCTGTAGATGCTATTAGTTAACATAAAGTTATATTGGAGCAGGGTGGGTCCTAATCCCGTTCAGGTGGTGTCTTACAGAAGAGGAGAACAGACACGGAGAGTGACAAGAAGGATGGACATGTGACAACAGAGGCAGATATAAGCCAAGGAACTCCAAGAATTGCCAGGCGCTACCACAATCTGGGAAAGAGGCATGGAACAGTTTCTGAGGGCTCTCAGAAGGAATCAGCATAGTACTTCTGGCCTCCAGAACTCTGAGAAAATAAATTTCTGTTCTTGAAAGCCATCCACTTTGTGGTATTTTGTTACAGCAGCCTTAGGAAATGAAGACACCTACTCCTACTCTAATCAGTTTTTTTCTAAATATTCGGCTTCAAACTGAGAAGTTCCCTTCTTCCCTCCGTCCCTCCTCCCGGAAGTCTCAGGGAGTACCTGTGTGTGCCAGGCACTGCCCTAGGCACAGGAACGCAGTTGTGAACAAGACATTTCCAGTCCATGCCCTTGAGGAGCTTATTGTCTAGTTGGGGGGACTGGCTGAAAGGCAGCTCGCTCCCCTCTACCCCATCTATCTGCCTGTGGTTGAGCCTGTGAGGGTCTGGTCCTGTGCTCCTCTGGAGGAAGAGTGCCCCCTGATGTTTCCAGAGAGAATTATTTCAGGATGCTCCATCCAATTTGAGATTGCCCAAAACGGGAGTGACAGGCTTAAACTGCTCCTTTGCCACCCTATCTGCATCTGCTCTAATCTCGGGCCTTTGAGGACAGTCTGTGTTTGCTCATGCCTGACAGGCATCTACCCAGAATGAGCGACGAGACAATTTCTGAATAAAAACACTTCCCATAGAGATTAGATTCTACCAGTTTAATTCCCTCATCTGTAAGAAAAAGATAATAGCTGTACCTCTCTCATCGGGATAGTTGCAAAGATCACATGTGTTAATACACCTGCCTGGTACTCAGCCAAGTGCTCAAATGTTCACTCACATTACTGGTATTCACCCTAAAAGAGCATCTCTAGTGATGACATTACTTCTGTAAGATACTTTGCCCAGATGCAAGAAACATTGGAAACAGCGCAGAAGCTGCTGGAGGACACTTGAGAACCTACAGAAGTTCCCAGCATTCCTTGGGTAATTGTCTTCATTTCCCACCTGTGAAGATTAGCTTATTAGCCTGGGCCCTGCATCACTGAAGATATTTGACACAAAGTGCATCGGTGATTCACTACTCACAAGCAAAGTGAAGCCCCAAATCTAAGAGAAGATCAACTGAAGCATTTTCCAGGAGGAAACCTATTTTGTCTCGTCAACTCATTTGGGTGAGGCGATCAGAGAATTCAGATGAGCTCCAAAAGGAAATGATGCTCAAACCCTGCAGCACATACTTCATTAAACCCAGGGTAGAGAAGGAGTGTCTTTGCTATTTGGGGGAGGAAACTGCAGGAGCCAGTGGAGGCTGAAGAGGGTTTTAAGCTTTGCCAGAAAGAAAAAACAGTTGGTACGTGATTCAAGAAAATGGTGAAACAGGCAGAGGGACTGTGCATAGCGCTCTGCCACCTGCGGGGGGCACTGTCTACATACCAATTCCTTCTTCTTCATGCACTCCATGAGGATGATGAAGAGGTGCTGAGCTTGAGTCCGAGTGTATGTGAAAGTCTTCTGTATGGTCACCAATAGCTGGTCCCTCAAAGATTCATTTATAAGTCTGCAAGTTAAAAACAAGGTCAAAAACAGGTCAACCCAGAGCTATTATAGAACATAAGAAAGTATTGTGAGGGCTTGCTTTAAGTGGAGCTTCCTTCTTCCTGTCTTTTCCTTGCAGTGGTTGACTGTGATAATAAAAAATAATAATAATAATAATAATGCATTATGAAATAAATCCATTTTCATATCTCAGAATCTAATGAAGTTGGGAGTTTCGTTTAGTTCTTATTCATCTCTTTTTTTCTTTTATATGATGTGTGTCTAGTATCTTTTTTTCCCAGGTTCTATTATCAAAAACATGCCTCCTATCAATTGCTCGTATCTTGGTAAAAATTTATTATAATACTTATCTGAAGGAGATTTAGATTTCTACTTCATCTTTAATTGCGGAAGAAAAGTTTTATCTTGTTAATGGATTTCCAAGCATCAATGAGCATAAATAGGAGTTAAGTTTCCTCTAAAATCATTCTACATAGGTGACTTGGTCTATGATTCAAGTCATCTTCACTTCTGTCAAGTTTTTGCTGTGTTACATCAAACAAAAGTCTGACCCACAAGGAGACACCATATTGGTTCCTTCATTAAAAAAATAGTGTTGCTACAGAGGAATGAATGAGAGGCAGGGAGCCATGTCATATCTAACCAATGCTCAATTATCTCTTGAATTTAGGTCAGTCACAGCTCATTGTTACTCCTCTCCCACCAGCTTTGTATCTCTGTCTTTACCCGCCATCAAACGGCAGGAAGGAAAACTCACTTTTTAATTAACAGGTACTTTTCAAAATTTTTAGAAGTGAAGCTGCTCTCAAGGACGAGCAGGAACAATATCATAATTTGCCTATCAGTTTATGGTTTACAAATTGCTTTCATAATTGAAGTACTAACAACCCCTAGATAAAATAGTAAAATATAATAATTATCTCATTTGGTGCTTACAGGAAACTTCTGGGTAAGAGATCTGTCCAATTTCACAGGACATTCTGGCCATAAAGAGCCAGATGACTTGGCTTAAGGTCACACAGCAAATAAGTGGCAGAGCCAGAACCAGGACCTGTTCTAGTGACTCAATGCTCTATCCACTACACCACCACCTCTTATTACACCAAGTACGCAACACCACTGCCTCTTTCATAGCTGTGGATACTTGGGCAGGAAGTTGTAAAATCTTCTTTAACGTAAAAGCAAGACAAGCTGGTTGCTTAGAAGAAAAAGCAAGGTCGGTGGCTTGAGAACGTCTTTTTATCAGTGGCCTGCTCTACTCCAGGGTTGTGTGAAGATTCACCTGAACCCACAAGACTGGATATAATAATAACCCCACTTTGAGAACAGAGGTCTTCCCTTTGACATAACTGTACCAAGGACCCTGAAAGGTCACTCAGTTGGATAGAGGATTGAGTTATCCCTTCTCTCCTCCAAGAACATCTGTATCATGCATATACACATTTAGAGAAAAAAAAAAGGTTGAGATAAGGTTGAAAAAAATTAACAATACCAGATCCTGTCGAGATCATCTAAGTTATTTTGATGGACTCTGTGGCCCTAGCTGTGGATGAGCCTGAAACCATTCATTGCCTCATTCAGTGATTCATTGATTGATTGATTGATTTAGCAAATGCTTACTGAATGTCTATTTAGTGTAAAACACTGTGGTAGGTGCCAGGGATACAAGAGACAGAGGAGATATACACATACCCAGCCCTCCCTGAGTTTACACTCCAGTGGAAGTAGAAAGACATTAACCACCTTTCAACTGTGATGACAGCAGTAAAGAATTAGAGAAGCTAATGACAGATGAATATAATCTAGAGGGTTCAGGGAAGACTCCTTTGGGGAAGTAGTGTTGTATCTGAGACTTGAAGAATGAATGAGCTTTAGCAGAGTTGGGGGCTGGTGTGGCTGGGTAAGAGCATTCTAGGCAGACAGAACAACATGAACAGCCCTACTCTGGAGAAAATACAAGACATTCAGTGTGTTGGATTGAATAGCGTCCCCTCCCCATCAGATTCATGTCCAACCGGAACCTGTGATTTGTTTGGGAATAGGGTCTTTGCAGATGTAATCAAGTTTAGATGAGTTCATACTGGATTAGGGTGGGCCAATGGCTGGTATCCTTATAAGAAGAGGGAAATTTGTACATGGACACACAGAGGGAAGACAGCCACAAGAAGGTGGAGGCAGAGACTGGAGTTATGTTACCACACTCTAAGGAACACCAAGAATTGCCAGCAACCACTAGAAGCTAGAAAGAGCAAGAGAAAATTCTTCCCTAGAGCTTCAGAGGGAGCATGGACATGCTGATACCTTGATTTTGGACTTCTAGCCTCCAGAACTGTGAGAGAATACATTTCTGTTGTTTTAAGTCATACGTTTTACGGTAATTTGTTACGGTGGCCTGGGAGATAATACAGTCAATATGGCTGGAGCACAGAGAGCAAAAGAAAGAGTGGAACAAAATGGGGCCACGGAGGGGATGAGCAGGGACAAGATCACACAGGACTTTGGAGTTCATGTTAGAAATTGTGGGCTTTACTCCACAAGCAATGTGAGGCCAGTAAAGATTTAAGCAAGAGTGTGAAATGACTGCATTTGAGTTGCCAGTTAACTTTCCTGAAGAGTCAGGACGTCAGCATTCATACTTGGGCCTATTTCTACTTGACAGGTAACCCACGTGGATGGATCTAGAGAGTTCTGCAGTATTAAACGCACATAAATGTTGTACATGATTAACAACAGAGGGGACTTTCCCGATCAGCCACTTGATAGATCCAATCATTCGTCCGCAGGTGTTCAATGTTGGTAACAACTCAAAATTTGTTTTCCGCTACTAACCATCTGTAATGAAACCCCAATTCCCTGAGGTCATTAACCGTTTGAGGAATCTGTCACTGCTATCCAGTATGTCACTTTTTAAAAACTAAGGACTGATGTGTGGGTTAGCTGACTGTGGGCTTCGGTGGTTAGGAGAACTGAAAGATACTAAGAATCCTATACTTTTTAACCCAGTTTCACAACTGATTTAAATTATGACTTTGGATAAAGTACTGAGCAACAAAAATCAAGGAATGTTAGAAGTAGAAGGATTCTCTAGGTTAGTGTTTTCCAGTGTGTGAGAGGCATATCTCTGAAGGAACAGAGGTGATTTTATGTGGAAGGAAGGTGATTTGGTCCATCCAAGGCATTAAATTACACTCATTATATGTTGTTGTTGTTAGTTGCTATCCAGTTGGCGCTGATTCATGCCAACCCCATGTGCAACAGAGCAAAGTGTTGCCTGGTCTCGCGCCATCTTCGCGATCATTGGTATGCTCAAGTCCATTGTTGTGGCCACTCTGCGTTCTGAGTGTCTTCCAATCTTGGGGACCCATCCTTTAGCACTATATTGGACAATATTTGGTTGTGATCCGCAGGGTTTTCATTAGCTCATTTTTGGAAGTAGATTTCCAGGCCTTTCTTCCCAGTCTATCTTAGTCTGGAAGCTCCCCTGAAAGCTGTCCACAGTGGGTGACCCTGTTGGTGTTTGAAATACCAGGGGCATAGCTTCCAGCATCATAGCAACATACCAGCCACCGGTGTACGATAAACTGCCAGACAGGTGGTGGCATTAAACATTAAATAACTGTTATTCCTGGTTAAATTATGTTTCCATACTTCTGATTATGTGAAGAGGAAATTCTCATTTTTGGTGCTACTTTGCCTTTAATAGTTCTCTAGCTGTTGCTAACCTTTGCTTTTAAGAAAGAAATAACAAATGTTAGGCCTCGTGCCTTTGGCAGGAAAAGTTTAATAACATTCCTTTAAATAAGATCCCATTTAACATCTGACGTCTCCCTACCACGTCATGGTTTGCAACACACAATGGGCTACAGAGATAATTTCACTTGATCTTTATAACAATCTTTGAGGCACGCAGATATTAATGCCTTTTTGTAGAAGAGGAAACTGTGGCCCAAAGATGTTAAATGATTTGTGCCAAGTCTCATTGCTGGATGATGTCAATACTTGAGCTGAGTCTATTGACTTCGGCCTTCTTTTCATGGTGCTGCTTTTCCTGCTTTTATTCTAAAGTATATGTTTCCGTTTTCACAATTATCTGCAGTGAAGGTAGAAATTTAAGTGCGTCTATTGTAGGAAAATGCTTTTCCTTTTCGTGATGTCTAGAGACTGTGAAGGATGATGAGTCTGGAGAAGATAAGGAGAAACTGGTAAATGAGGACAAAAGCAAAGTGGATTTAGTAGTTTGAAGATTTACATTTGTTTCTGATTTTTCAGAAGTATTTGCTATGCTGAACTAGATGTTTTCTATTTAGCGCCAAGGCTTAGTCTGTTTTCTTCAAGGACCCTTTCTTATTTTGTGATCGTATTCCTTAAAATCTAAGAAAGCCTACTTTTCTGAAATTACTGCTTCCCTAGTCCTTGCTATTTCTTCTTTTTCTGCACAACACTAGAATGATTTAAAAATTTTGACTGTGATATTTAAGATCTGGCAAATTTAGAAATAAGCCTATTTTAGACTTTCTGTTTATGGCACGAGAATAGTGATTGAAGATTTCTTGACATCAAAACATGGTCATAGGACTGTGTGAATTTTTAGTCCTAGAATTGGGTCCTTGACAGATTGGCTATTTATGCAAACTGTGAATTTGGGGTTCCATATGTATCAGTGCTATTTTTGGTATACCTCAAATTAGAGGGTTTTGTGACTTAGGAAGTGTATTCATTGTGGTGAGAAAAATCTCTATACTATGGTATTTGTGTTTCCATTTAAATGTACTTAAGACATGGGACTTTTGAGATGAATCACAGAGTTATTTAAAATTGGTCAATGCCCATCTGATGCTCAGGGTAACCAACAAAACTTTCCACAGTTTGCTATTGGTATTCTGTTCAAATGCTGGCAGTACAAGCCATGCGTGCATTTCCTCAGAATGAATTTAATTACCTGCAGTATCAGAGTTCCCAGATTGAAAAATTATAAAATACATTTAGAACTCACTGCAACTT